TAATTAGAACAGGGTTTGGGGTCTATTATACTAGAATTACAAAGAGGAGCCCCCAAAACCCTATTCTAATTATTAGGGCCCCTACATGAAACCCTCAAGTCCTGAACCCCCAAAACCCCGAACCCTTAAAGTATCGAATCTTCGGCATGTTCTACCGCTTGGGGCCCCTTAAACCCTAAACCCTACACCCTAAACCCTAAACCCTAAACCCCTAAACCCTAAACTCTAAACCCTAAACCGTGCCGAGGGTTTCCAAGAAGCACGAGAGTCGACCCTGGGAGGTAGGTTTAGGGTTTAGGGTTTAGGGTTTAGGGTTTAGGGTTTAGGGTTTAGGGTTTAGGGTCAAAAGTCGGGCTGAGGGTTGAGGGTTTAGGGTATAAGCTTTATGAAAGGGTGCTTCGGGTTGAGGGTTTAGGGTGTAAGTTAGGAATCGTAGTGGCTTGAAGCCTTGCAAGCCCCTTCTGAAGCTGCAAGAACACCCATGATTGCTTAACAGGTGCGCAATATCATTACTATTACTATTAATAGTATTGTTATGATTACTACTATTAGCATTTTTTAGCGTTATCTTCGCCCATACAGAGTCAGAGCTGACGAGCTGCGTCTGCGGCCCCCTGCACACCCGGAGAGTTGAGTGAGCTTGCATCTTTTGCACCTTTGCACGGTTTTGGGTTTAGGGCTTAGGGTTTAGGGTTTAATGTAGGCGCCTTATTCAACCCTAAACCCTAAACCCTGCAGCCTAAATCCTAATCCCGAATCCCTAAACTAATCAGAATGGGCTTATGAACTCCTTTATAGTATAAATATATAAAGGAGCCACCTACAACACACCTACACCCAAAAAGCCCCAAACCAGAAGACTTTAGAAGAAGCCGCTATTAACACCACAGAGAACCCTGATAGAACCTGTATCAACCACTAAACAGCCCCCTAAACTCACACAGGCCAAGACTCTTCAATTAAGTGACAACCTGAAGCCATCAGTTACAAATCGCTTATTACGTGATAAACCCTAAACCCTAAACCCTAAACCCTAAACCCTAAACCCTAAACCCTAAACCCTAAACCCTAAACCCTAAACCCTAAACCATCAAGTCACGCCCCTTGTAATTTGAGCCCTCAGCCTTAAACACGAAGTATCTTCCGCAATCGAAGGAAGTGGGAGTTGTTCTCCGACTCCTCATAAGCCCTAAACCCCGAGCCTAAATCCCTGAATAGCCCTTGTCAACCCTTACCTAAAGCCAAAAGGATCTAACAACAGATACACCAAAAAGGTGTCCTACCGTAGATTCTACGGGTTAAGATAAGTTTATGTCTAATTAGGGGCTCTGCTTCAGATCCACGCGACCCTAAACCCTAAACTGTATAAGAACCCCAAAGCGACCCAATGACTCAGCCCGGCAACTGTTCGCCAACACGAAGGCTTCATCCGCAGAGAATGTCCAGCCCCGGATGCTGCCTTTGGGACGACTTAGGGCTTTAGGGTTTGGTAAGTCTTGGGCTGAAGGTATTCGGCTTTGGAGTTTAGGGTTTGGTGTTGTTCCTGATTTTGTCAAAACCCTAAACCTTAAACCGGAGGTTTGTGTGTCTTTGGGATGTTGTGTGTGTGTGTGTGTGTGTCTGTGTGTGTGTGTGTGTTTGTTTTTGCTTGGGGCCCAGCATTAGGGGTCCGCTCAAGTCTACTAGGAAACACATATGGGTAGTTCTCTAAATCTAGCTCTTGCTACTAGTACATATGTCCGCTTATTAATAATATGCTTCCATGCTCTCGTATGAATCGTTCCCTAAATTAGACTCCCTCTTGGGTACTAGAAAAAATGCGGCGCCCTTATGCCCTTATAAAAAGGACCCTAAACGGGACCCGTATTTGGAGAACTACCCAAAAGCCGGACTGGACTTCTATAAACAAAACCAGAAAATATGTCACCCAGAGAGCCATATATATATATATATGTATATTTGTTTATAGTTATTGATTATCTGCTCACATACCCTCCGTGAAGCAATATACCGTACATCATCATAGTAAGCCCCTTGCTTTGGTAAGGTGCCCTGGGCTCCTTGGCTAAACCCTAAACCTACCTATATACTCATCTTGTATGCACCCCTGAACCCTCAACCCTAAACCCCCTTGTGTCCAGGCCTGCATACTTGAACGCGGTCGCCGCCTGCTGGTCACCATCCCAGAGCTCTGCGATGCCGCTGTTCCCACCTCTAGTCGGGGGTAAAGGGCTTAGGGTTTAGGGGTTTTTAAAGGGTTAGGGTTTAGGGTTTAGGGCTTTGGGTTTAGGGGTTTTAAAGGGTTTAGGGTGTACAAAGGGGTTTAGGGTTTAGGGTGTACGAAGGGTTGAGGCCCAGGCTTTACCTGATGTGATGTTGTAGGGTTAGGGTTTAGGGTTTAGGGTTTAGGGTTTAGGGTTTAGGGTTTAGGGTTTAGGGTTTAGGATGTGATGTTGTAGGGCGGCCGCAGACCAACTTGGAACTATGGAACCCTGCAGTACATCCTGAATGCGAAGCTGACGCAAGCAACGACCATGGGTTCCCCACTCGCGATTCTAAGAAACAGAACCCCTGAACCCAAAACCCTAGGGTTTAGGGTTTAGGGTTTAGGGTTTAGGGTTTAGGGTTTAGGGTTTAGGGTTTCGGGCCTCACCCCCAGCCCCTGACAGTCTTTTGCAGGTTAAGGAAGGATCCATCTTGAACGAAAGCACAGGCATTGCAATCTTTCACGCACAAACATATGGCTCGTGAATGAACTACAGTCTAGGGTTTAGGGTTCTCCACATATGTACACATGTATGCACACGGTTCTAGGCAGGTTGTTACAAATAAGCTCCAGCCAAGCCTTACCCTAAACCCTAAACCCTAAACCCTAAACCCTAAACCCTAAACCGCTAACTTCACACCCAGCCCACCCCCACCCTAAAACCAACATGCTGAAATCTAGGAAGTCTATTGCTGCTACCCCTCAACCCCAAAACCCGAACCCTAAACCCTGAAAACCCTGAACCCTAAGCCCTAAACCCTCAGCCCTAAACCCTAAAAACCCTGAACATCCCGGTACCCTTGCAACCCGGCGTCCGAAGCCGCAAACCCCGACAAAATCTAATCCTATACCCTAAGTCCCAAGGCCCAGACCCTCAAACCCTATAAGCCCCAAGCTCAACACTCTCCGACATCTAGCATCCCCGAGAAAGGAAAAACTTCTCAAGCCCCTAAAGCCGAAAGCAAACCCTTTAAGATCCCTGAACCTCAACACCACCCCCAAACCCCCTCAAACCCTAAACCCTAAACCCTAAACCCGAAACCCGAAACCCGAAACCCGATAACCCCTAAACCCTAAACCCTAAACCCAGCTCCCCCCCAAGAGAAAGAGTTCTCATCAAGGCGCCGCTCAAGAGGCAGCCTCCTGAGGCGGAGAACTGTAGGTGAGTCACAGAGTAGTCCACGCCCCTGGGCTTTGAAGGCTGTCACGCTTTAGGGTTTAGGGTTTAGGGTTTAGGGTTTAGGGTTTAGGGTTTAGGGTTTGGGAATCTGGATTTAGGGCTTTGAGGGCTTTGAGTCACAGAGTAGTCCACGCCGCTGGGCTTTGAGGGCTTTCAGGGTTGGGGGTTTAGGGTTTTGAAGGCTTTTTAGGATTTGGGAGTCACAGAGTAGTCCACGCCCCTGGGCTTTGAGGGCTTTCAGGGTTGGGGGTTTAGGGTTTTGAAAGCTTTTTAGGATTTGGGAGTCACAGAGTAGTCCACGCCCCTGGGCTTTGAAGGCTGTCAGGATTTGGGAATCCGGGTTTAGGGCTTTGAGGGCTTTGAGTCACAGAGTAGTCCACGCCCCTGGGCTTTGAGGGCTTTCAGGGTTATGGGTTTAGGGTTTTGAAGGCTTTTTAGGATTTGGGAGTCACAGAGTAGTCCACGCCCCTGGGCTTTCCCAGAGACTCCAAAACCCCTTAATTAAGGACTACCTTAAATTCTAATAGGATCCCTAATGTGATTTAAGGTATATTCCTTAATTAAGGGGTTTTGGAGCCTCTGGGCTTGGAGGGCTTTTAGGATTTGGGAATCTGGGTTTAGGGCTTTGAGGGCTGTGAGGGCTTTTTAGGATTTGGGAGTCAAGGTTTAGGGTTTAGGGGTTAGGATTTTGAGGGCTTCGAGGGCTGTTAGGATTTGGGATTCAGGGTTTAGGGTTTAGGGCCTTGAGGGCTTTGAGGGCTGTGAGGGCTTTTAGGATTTGGGAGTCAGGGTTTAGGGTTTAGGGGTTAGATATGGTGTTTAAGGTCAGGCTTCAGGCTTCAGGGGACTGCAGGGAAATCGTGGATGAGGGGTTTAGGGCTTGAGGGGAATAGAAGTTTAAGGAATAGAAGTTCAGGGGTCTGTAGACAGAACATAAGGAATATGGGGCTTAGGGTTTAGGGGAACGTAGGTTTAAGGTTTAGTAGTTCAGGGGACTATAAGGGGAAAATAAGAAATGTGGGGTTTGGGGTTTAGGGCAAGATGAGGCTTCAGCGTTCAGGGGACTGCAGGCTTGCGTTAAGGTTCTATGAGGGTTTTCTTGGAGCTTAGGGGGTTTAGGGTTTAGGGTGTCTCTTGGGCCCCGGAACCCTACTTGGAGGATCAGAGGACTTAATCAACTAAGCATATACGTACCCTAGTTGGTGTTATAAGTGGATATAGTTCTTGTACTATGTAAGTCCCGTGATCCTTTGAGTAGGGTTCAGGGGACAGCAAGGACAATAGCGGATATATGGGATTTAAGGCTTTAAGGGAATATGATAGGATTTAGGGTTTAGAGGTTAGGGTGTTTAGGGTTTGGGGTCGAAGCTATGAGGGTTTTAGGTTTATTAGGGCTATTAGCGGGCGTAGAGTGAGGAGAATATGGAAGCCTCGATGGTTACTAGTGCCATTTCTGGGGTTGTGGTTACACTTATGCCGTATACGAGACACCTCAAAACACCAGTGAAAACTATGAAGGAGCAACAAAACCTGAATCCTAAACCCGTCACCCTCCAAGACCCCAAAACCACACCTTCAACCCCCCCCCCTCCAATAAAAAAGATACAAAAACAGCCACAAACTTAAATCCGAACCCCTGAACCCTAACCCCAACCCTAAATCCGAAACGCCAAACCCTAAACCTCCAAACCACCTAAACCCCCGGCCTCTGCTGCATGGGGTGGCCATCCTGTGAGGTGTAGTGCCAAGTTGTCAGCCGCCCCTGCCTCTGGACGGGTCATGTAGTCAGGTAGTCTTTAAAGGGTTTGTCTCGGGCTTATCACAAGGTTGTTATTGACTTCATGGACTTGTTTGAAGGTTTAGGGTTTAGGGGCTTCGGGCTTAAGGTTTAGGGTCTAGGGCCTAGGGTTTTGGGTTTGGGTACATGAGAGCACGAAAGTGCATAACGTATATCACTAATACGGGGTTACTATTCGTTCTTGTTCAGGCGATTTTAGTGTAAGGGCTTCGCAAGAGGTTCAGAAGGTTCTAGACAGGGGTCCACCACGAAAGTTTAGCGCGTCGGGGTGTCAGGGCTTGAGCCCTAAACCCTGATCCCTAA